GCCCTCTTTTAATATTCCCAATTGCCCCAACTCGGAAAATTTTTATAAAGGGAAAAAAAAAAAAAAAAATATATATATATATATATATATATATATATATATATATTTAAACACAGCGAAACGCCTTCTGTTGATACAAAGGGTGTCTTTGTCTCCTTTTGTTGATTCATTGTTGGATCCATCCAGGATATGTCCTGTTTAAACAGTGAAGGCTGTCTTCCATAGCCAACAGGAGGTAATATACCTCACACACTTCAAGACGTTCAAGTGTTTGTGCACGAGGGCGGATAAGTGTCCACTAAATACTGCACGTGTTTGTATGCGACAGTTAAAGGCACACAAAAACAGCACGTCCAGAGATTATTTTTTTTACCTGTATTGTATGTGCCGTGCTTTTCTAAAGCATTGCAAAAATGATTTCCAAGCTGCATCTCAGGATGATTATATGTGTGTGTGTATCGGTGTGTGTGTTATTAATGTCACAGAAGATTGTCTGGAATGCAAGAATTGTTGGCTTGTGTATTAAGTGTCATAAATTCACAGTGTCATACTTGGCCTATTGCACTCGCTGCAGTAAATATACACACCTCAAATAGATTAAAGTGTTTCAAAAATGATACTGACATAACAATGTTTACCAAGAGTGTCACAATCACATGGTTTTGTAATGCTGAGCCCCAGTGATGATGAAGCAACATAGTAGTGCACCATTGTGGACTGGATGAAAAAGGACAGCTTGATTTCAATTGGTCAAAGTAATCTGTATTCTCTCCCCATTTCTCCAGGTTTATTACTGGCAAGAGTCTTTAACCAACCCCATTGCAAATGTATATTCCTTGACTGTGTTTGCATCTCAAACTCAAACTTAAAACTGCCTCAGTCCGAAGTCATTCCTACAAAAAATGGCTGAATTGTGAATGTTTCTTGAATTAATTAGAAAAGCTTAAAAGGTTTGTCTTTTCACCTGCTCCTAATTTCTTTTTCACATTTTCCTTTGAAACTGGGTCTGTGCCTTCTCCTACACCATGAACAGGTTTGTCCATAAATTACTCCACAGACGAAATCAGGAGCATGCAGGGACACATGCCACGATGGGTGGTGTGTAGTACTCTTTAGTAAGTGGCAGAGCTGGCGTGTACAGACAATATTTTATGTTACGAAAAAAACGCCGAGTCCCCTGCTGTCGTACATTAAAAAACAGGAAAGACAAATCAACAAATTGAATCAGACAAAAAGTGAAAATCTCCCTTTCTTTTTCTAAAAGTTCTGCCAACTTTTCAAGAAAAGGTTGGTGGAGCTGCAAAATTGGAGGGATTAAAATTAACAGTTGAACAGATTAAATGTTTGAATCTGAACTTTGGAGGATTTTATCATTTGTATCAGTTGTGCCAACTTTCTCCTGAACAGAGCTTTGTAAATATAAAGCTCTGTTCAGCATTGGTTTCTGCTACAGGGTTTATAAGGACATTTCCTTACTCAAATGATACATTTTCATCCTAACCAATTTAGTCTAAGCATCTGCTTAGCTTACCAGTTTTTTTTTTTTTTTTTAGAAATATTTCCTGAGCTCTGCATGATGAGTAAGGCAGCAATAGAGGTTCCAGCACCATCTGACTGTCAGTCAGTAGTTAGCCACATTTACCTCAGTGCCTCAGGTAATGTTTTCCATGAAAATAAGACTCCTTATTATCCAGTGGCCTCTCCTCACCCTCTGTATCCACATGAACGCCTCTCTCCATTACGTCACCGTGACGACGCTCTGTTATTAAAGCAGCTTCTCTCTGCTGCTGACCAGCCCACATATTTATTTATTTTTTTTCTGACAGACTGGCAGCTTTTCGCGCAAAGAGTCACAGCAATGGTTCTGTACGTGCAGCCTTAAAAAAAAAAAAAAAGGAACTAGCTTACTTAAATTCGTTGCATCATTTACAACCAAATCCATTTGAATTTGACAGCATTTTATTTCATTTTCTAATGAAACGAATGTCATTGCGTCTTCCGAAAACAAAGGGGAATTGAGGTTTGCAAACCCAGTTGGGTCTCAGCCACAAAGGTTTGGAGTAAACCAAATTCATTGCCGTCATCTCCTTCAGGACTGAAGTTTTGTAAAACATTGACCTGGTAGTTTTGATGCTAAATTTTATTCACTCCTCAACCCAAAGTGTTATTTAGTTGTTATTTCTAGTTTCACCAAAAATGCGTCTAGTCATTCTATAGTGTTTGCAATGAGAGAAAAAGGGTAGTTTTTTTTTTTTTCCTAGACTTGAGACATTTAAGAGCTTTTTTCTCTCTGTTACTGTACAAATACTTCTTACCCATTTTCATCTTACTTTTTCATTCTTACCAGTTACTCAAACAGTTTGGATTAATAAAACATTTTCTTTTATTTTACAGTGAAACTATCCTTTCCAAAGCATGGAGAGTGAAGGTCAAAGCAATCTCGTTAAGTGGCAGCTGAGACCTTCATAATAGCAAACGGAGCAGAAGTCAATCATCAGTAAATGTATAACTTTCTTAACGTTGCCTTTAGGCACAAGCAGGTTTGAGACGATGACGGTATGATGGTAAAAGTTGCGCCGTTTCTTGGTATCTTTGTATTTACGTGACAGTTGTAGTCATTAAGATTGGTGGAAAATAGTAAATAGTGCAACATATAATTATATATGTTACATATATCATTTTTGTTTAGATTTCTATACCTGCTCTGAACCAAAAACATAGACTAAATCCCTTCAAATTGTTTTAGCTTTCATGTAGGCATTGTAGTAACAAGCTATTAGATGGGTAATTAGTTGGCTGTCTGCTGGTGCCTGCAGCCGGCTGCTCACCAGACATGATGCTTGGCGCTTGGTGCTCTTCCAGTTCACACATGATGACTGTTCTCGTTCTTCCATAACCGGAAACACATTCCAACGGCTTAATATGTCGAGAGCAAGGGAAAAAAGCCTTTCTTCAGCCTGCTAACCAGCAATGCTCAGCAATATCTGTGTTTCCTCAATGCAGTTTAATTATCAGTAGAGATGGAGAAAAACATTAAACTGTGTGAGCCGGATGATGGGGAAATTTTGCTCGGCTTTTCTAACCTTTTAAATCGTTGACATACCTTGGTGCTTCTTATGGATTTTGTGCTTTTTTTTCTTTTTTTCTTTTTTTTATTTTTTTTTTTACTTTTCTACCGATTTATCAAACAATGAGTGATGTTAGTTTAACATCAATGAATGATTGGCCTTTATCTAAAAACCAATGCAACCAGGAAATAGATGGATTTTTTGAGGTATTAGATGCAACGCATGTGAGACAATCTGAATCATCTTCGTCTTCAGCTGAGAAGTAGGTGCTTACTAGTTTTTTGTTGTTTTTTTTGTTTGTTTGTTTGTTTGCTGAAGCCACGTCTGTCAAAACAAGCAAAATAAAATAAATAACACACACGCACACAAACCAAAGCAGCCCGTTTCTCACACACCATCATTTCATCAGCCTGTCTTCTTCATGCTTTTTCCACAAGGTTGACATCATCTGTCTCTGTTTTCTCTCTTCCCTTCCCATCTGTCCTTTTTAGCCATTCACTGTTTTTCCATTGCATTTCTGGAAAGTGATTGGTTTTGTCTTACTTTTTTCCTCCCCTCCTTTTTCAGTATTTGTCTCCTTCATTCTCCCCAAACAGATTCCTACACCTCCGTTACTCTGTGACACACACACACAATCACACAATCACAGTCTGATCTCTGTCTTTTTTTTTTTTTTTTTGCAGATGTCTGATAGCTAGCCAACTGAACAGAGGACCTCCCTCTCTGCCGGGAGCCTTCCACCTGCAGCCATGAATGGTGAGGACACAGTTTAAAGTCTTGGTTGTGCATGATGTGCATCTCTACTGAAAAACAAAACATAGGGATGAAAAAGTAAAAAAAAAAAAAATTACACTAAACAGATATGTTTTTTCAGGGCCTATTATTAAAATTATGATTGTTTATCGATCAGGTCATCAAGATAAAATAATTCATTGATTTGCTGGCAGTAACAATGACTTGTATTTTTAATATATTTAAATTTCACTTATCGGTCTGCATAAACTAAGGTTTTATAGGTCTTATACCAAGTCATTTTTTAAATGTTTTTTTAATTCATGAAATTGGTCCCATATTAAGTTTTCAATTTGAACAAGAAAATTTAATTGCTTTTGGGTAAAATATAAATTTTTTTTTGGTCTCTAATCCTTATACTGACACTTCTGTTGTCTTTAGACATGACTTTTTTTTTTTTTTTTTTTTTTTCTAGACTGATGATGAACTAAGTTGCTACATATTGGGGGGGAAAAAATGTGTTAAGCTTGATTTTTTCCCCATTCTATTATTATTGTTATTTCTTTTTGCACACTCAAATCCCATTCCATGAAACGGCACAGGAAGAAAAGAAAAGCAGTTTGCATTTCTGTGCTCTCACTGAAGCAGTTTCTCAAAGTCAATTCCTCAACCACGTGGACAGTATGCAGCAAGCCTTAAAAAAAAAAAAAAAAAAAAGGGAAAAAAAAAAATGCTATAGTGTGCAGAGACTATTGATCCACCATCTGGAACATAAACCGATGAGTCTCAGGTGAAGTGTTTGATATGTAAATATTGAGGAAAGCCTTGCTGTGTTCTCCTCCAGCAGACGGGAGCGGGTGCACTCGGGGGACAGACTCGAGTATCTCCTAAGTGAGGACATTACAGTACCTTGACAACAGCACACAGGCCAACAAAGGGAAAAGTCAGAAGGCAGAGTCTCTGTGCAGCAGATGCTGTGGAGGCGAGACGCGGTGCGGGCGTTTTAAATTCAGCTCAGGCGATGTTGCTGTAGAAGCTATCCTATACGTTTTCCACAGCGGTGCTTTTAACTGTTATTAGTCTGTCCCATGTCAGTGGTACTGGTGAGACCTCTGATCTGAGGGTTTATTATATCTGAGCTGCTTTAACGAAGTTGCTTTAAACGCACTGAAGAAAACGGATAACAGCGGAATTAACAAATCGTACCGGAAGAGCTCAGTACCTTCCACCATGCCTGCTTTTTAGTCGGCAAATCCCGTTCCCTAAATACGCAAAGCTGTCTGTGAAATTCCGGGAATATGAAAACAACTGCCTTCAGAAGTTAACAAAAGTAAAAAAATAGAGGGAAATAGAGTCTATCTGGATGAATTTTGCATAAATGCAGCTGTTGTGTGAAGGCCTCAGAGGCTTGTTAGAGAACATAAGTCGACTAAAAGCGTCATAAAGACAAAGGGACGTTGCACAGAGGTCAGGGACAAAGTTGTAGACATGTTTAAGGTGAATGCGCACTCCACAAATCTGGCCTCCATAAAAGATTGATTATAAGAAGTCTTTATTTATTTATGTATCTTTAGTTATACCGGTTGTCTCATTGAGATCCAACATCTCATTTTCAAGAGAGACATGCTTTGATCAGACAAAAACAAAACCAGAATTTTTGTTCTATGTTTTGTTGTTCAGCTTGTAGAAGCCTGGATCTGTAGGAGGGCACAGCAAAAATATGGACAAAGCTGGGAAGATGAATGGAATTACTTTTTTGTTAACATATTCTCATGAATAAGAATAAGATTCGAGTGACTCTTTACTTCGAGACCACTCGCTGTTTTAAGATCACGATTAATCAAGCGGGGCGACCACGTTTGATCCTGGAACAGACTCATTGGGTGTTTCAGTACTTGTAATGTCGAAATGAAAGCGAAAAAGGTGGTTAAATAGTGCAGGACAGATACTTTGCATAGTACTCCGTTTTAAAAATGTCAAAATTTGAAATTGCATTAGTCACTTGTGCTGACAAACCAGATTCGTGTCATTCTGGAATTGCTATTTTTGTGTCGGCTATGCAAAATTAGTAGGAGTGCTTCTTCAAAACCCCTGGTTTAGACCAAAGCACATTTCAGGATGGTCCACTCAAAGTCCAGACCTAAATTTAATTCAATGACATCAGCTACTGAAAATTAGACACGAGTGTCAGTGAGTCTTTCTCTCTGCGCCGGATTTGTTACGGTAGCAATGCATAAATCTGGCGTGTTTTCATGTGGCCTCCCGTAGAATAATCTACAGGTCTCCGGCAGCACAAATGTCAATCCGCAGCGGCCTCTTTTGAAGCTTTGCACTGTCCCAGTTACTCACAGAGCATCAGGTTTGCTCTGATGCATGCAGCGCGGTGACTGACAGGCTGTGGATGTGGCCGTGCTAGCGGCACGTCCCAGCGGCCCTGTGCTGAATGTCCTTTCATTTGCAGTAACTCCAAACGGGGCGGGTGTTGGGCTGGTGCAGCCATCGAGACAATGTGGAGAATACTCACATCTTTCTGTGAGATTAATTACTTTCTTATTGTCTGCAGCAGCTTTTTGCTGAAGATGCCAAAAGTAGGCCAGGCTCTCTGAGTTGCTATAGCATCAGCTTTGTCAGGAGGGGAAAAAAAACAAAACGCACACCTGAACAGCTGTTGCTGTTGTGGTTTAGGGCAGCTTGTTTAGACAGAAATACCAGATTGTGGACAACTTGTCTGCTTTTTGCTCCCAACACTTTTTTTTTTTTTTTTTTGGCAGCTTTTTGTGCCGCTATTAAACTCCTGTTTTCTAAAGTGGTATTCCTCGTCCAAGTCTGTGTATAGCTGGCACAGTCTTGTAGATTGTTTGGGTTTGTGCTGGGGTGTGTGTGTGTGGAAGTTTCATCATGGGCAGGGCGGCATTTCCTGAGTTTGCAAAGTAAATTACAGCCTAGACACCATATCTCTGAAGATATGCACCCACAGTGCTTCTGTTCTTCTTATCTAAGATGAAAGAACATTTTTTTTTTTCTAGCACGTAAGCGGGCACGTCAAAATTATCACCCTAAGATCAGTGCGTGTGACACTGCAATCCCAAAAGACCGCTTGGACGCTGTATTTGCTCGGCAGACGTATCATTCTCTGTACTCTGGTGAAATACTCAGCCTTAGGTCACTGTTCTGTTGTGCCTGTGGAGCAAAAGCTCAAAGAGATATTTAGATGTGAACATTGTAGCACTGGAAAAGAAAGAGATGAGTGACAAAAATGCAACTTAACTGCAGTTGATACTGTCATTGCAATCGTGTGTTTTTTTTTTTTTAAAGAAATTGGAAGTAACTTTTTATCCACTGCTACTAACAGGTCACCAAAAACCATCAACGATATTTTTATTTGTAAGTATTAATAAAGAAATATATTGTATGTAATGTCTCTTATATTTAATTGCCATACCATAAAAAAAACATATTCATTATATTTCCTTGGTAAAACATATGAAGGACCTTGACGACGATCATTTGCCTCGATATCCAATATCGGCTACCAGTGGCTGCCCATTGAATGTATGTTACAATGCATAGGACAAACGAATAATAATTTGGCATAATTATGTCTTAGAGCAGAATAAAAGAAAGATTAGTGTCTCCTGAATTCAATGTTTAAGATGAGATGCCCATAAAGTTTTACCAGTATATCCATTCTGTTGGTAAAGTGTGTGATATTCTGAACTTTCTACAATCTAGTATCATAAAAGAAGGAACACTGGTTAAAAACTTATTTCAATATGAAGCACTAAATCAGAATTAGTCACAACCTTGATTTTTTATTTTTTTTTTTTGCAAATGCTGCACACGGTTTCAGCTGAAATTTACTCATTTTGTTTGCAATCTGCGATCACCATGGCAGCAGCGTTTGGCATCAGGAAAGCCCATCTGTTGAGCAGCGAAGGATGAAAGGTTCGAGGAGCCAGCTCAGATTGAGCAGTTCTTTTTTTAGCTGTCCCACATTACTGCTTCATTTCTGTTTCAGTTGATTTTAGTGGTTCAGTTATAATTAATACTCCTTAACGAGCTGTATCTGTTGCATCACCAATATTTGTTTTCTCTGCTGTTTGACAAAGCAGCAGTTTGCATCGCTCTGCTAGAAGATTGCAATTCCTTAAAGGATTAATCACACCTTTTTTTTAAAAAAAAAATTGTACATTTTGTGATGTTGCGGCCACAGCTTTCAGTGTACTTTGAACACAAAGTACATTTAAACGCACTTTCAGGGGTACGACTTTAACACTGCATCTGTCCTTGTCTGCTTGTCTCCCAACCAGGTGAAATCTGTCCTCCGGCATTAACATTTTATTTTATTTATTTTTTTGTAATATATCGTTTTATTCTCACAAAAAAACAAAAAAAAAACAATAGTTACATATTTTCTCAAGGATAAATGTGAACTGATGTTAGAATTCACAGTTGCATTAATTCATACTCAAGGCAGGATGCTACAGCGAGAGCAGAGTGAGTGGGGTGAAAAGTAGCTGTGCGGACACTTTTATAAATTAATAATCTTCAGTTGAAAGTTTGCCGAGGTTCCATTCGGAATACAAATTATAAATGCATTATTGAATGGCAAATTGAATTCTGCGCGCGCGGTGAAGTCGGTATAAATATTTCAGCTTCGCGAAGGTTTATCATTGGCTTTTGGTTGCTTGTGGTAAATGAGCCGTCCTCCTGTAGCGCTTTATCAAGTCCAGAGAACCCCAAAGCGCTTCACACACTGCGTTCAGTCACACTCACACACTGATGGTGGCGAGCTACAGGATTGTAGCCACAGCTGCTCTGGGGCAGTCTGACAGAGGTGCCACTTGGGCCCTCTGACCGCCACCAGCAGCCAAAGTGGGTGAAGTGTTTTACCCAGGGACTAAAACCACATTCATGAAAGTAGCATCATGAGAAATGATGTAGTAAAGAACTGCCCCAATTTTCAGCCCCTTTTTTGCTCCTGTATTTCCTTTCAGGTGGTTCCAGCGTTTGGGCCATCACTCCAGAGGAGAGAGGGAAGCACGATAAACAGTTTGACACCCTCTCACCAATCCTCGGCTACATCTCGGGTAGGCTGCTCTAACACAAAGGTTCAACACGTTGATCAGATAAAACAGTATGTCCGCTGTCAGCTAAAGTGACCCTGGCTTATCTCTTCATGATCCTGCTGGGATCTTTTTGCATCACCCGGTATTCCTTCATAAGTTTATTAGATACAGATAAAATCTCACCTCTTACATAGAAGCTGTGCCCCCCCCACCCCCCCTCCGCTCCCCCTCCGCAGAACATCCTCAGTAATGCTTCAAAAAGCACAATAAAGAATCTGATGTGGTTACTCAGCCCCTGAGCTCCCAGGATGCTAGACTGATGTAATCTGATGCTATCAGTGAGAAGTTGGCTCAGCGTTCCGTTTCACGTCTCCCAGAAGACCATCTGACACGGACACCAAAAGGCAGAAACGAGAGCTGTGTTTGGAGTACAAAAATAAAAAAATAAAAAAACAGGGGCCCCACGCTGTTTTTGAAAAGTCTGGAATTCCCCTCGTTCTTTTTCTAAGGGACAGAAGTGCATACAGTTTTAATGAATGCAATAGTTTCACACTGATTCATTTTCAGTTTGCAGGTGTTACCACATTCGATGCTAATTTTAGTGTTTTTAATGATTTGTGCTGTGCCTTTTTACTTTGCTGGAACAAAATAAGGTTGGAGGAATCCACAAATGAGCTTTAAAGGATCTACAATCAGTCCAGCATCCTTCATTTCATATCGATTTTTCTTTTAATAGTTTAATCTAGTTAATCCAGATGCTGCAAAGGCAGTGGGATTTATATCATCCATTCATTCATAAATCCATTCATAAATCCATGGCAGGTTCGTTGAGGAGTAAGAGGCAGGGCATGTCCTTTGAGATTTATAGTGGGCCTGTACCAATCTGTAATAATTAAAAGTTTGATCAGTGTTGTTTTATTATGTATGTAAGCTACAGACTACAAGGCTCAACTACTTGCAAAGCAGCTTTAAAGTTACTCGTCAAATGTAGTGAATTTTGTTAAAATTGTAGAAACCATTTTTTGTGAAATTTTAAGTCTTGGAATTAGGCAATCCAGCAGCTCCCGCATAAAGAGGCCTCCTTCATATTAGGTCATAACGTTGAGGCTTAAACTGCTTTTACATCTCATAAAAGGTCTGTATCAGATTCCCCATCTCTCTGAGGCCCCCCACCCCTGTCATTGTTGTTTGTCCGCAGGGGAGCAAGCGAGGAAATTCTTTCTCCAGTCCGGCCTGCCGCCTTCTGTCTTGGCGGAGATCTGGTAACTAAAAATTCTGTAAATCCTCATCAAAACTCTTTTTTTTTTTTTTTTTTTCTTTTTAGGCTGTAGCAACTGGGTCAGTGGGTCTATAGGCTTTGTGTTTGGCCGGTGTCAGTTTAGTTCATCGAGTTGTTTTTGACTTCCTGTTGAGAGCTCATTTCCTTCACTGCCTGCCACACCTAGTAAACTGTGCATATGTGTGGATGGGTGTGTGTGTGGGGGGGGGTTGGGGGGGGGGGGGTCAAGGAGAGTATTGAGTGTACTCTGTAATCAGAAATGTGTGTGTGTGCGTGTGTGTGTGCTTGTGGTTTTTGTGTAAAAAAAAAAATGTTGCTGGAATTCAATCCCTCTAGCGCCTTGTTCCTTGTGTGACTTGCTTCTTCTATTGTCTCTCCAACGGGGGAAACAAACCCCAGGAATAAATAGCTCGCTGGACTCTATGCACCAGTTTTACCGGTTTCTCTCCTACAGGAACCTGGCTGACATGGACAGTGACGGGAAGATGGACAGACTGGAGTTTTCCATCGCTATGAAGCTTATTAAACTTACGCTTCAGGGCAGGAACTTGCCGTCATCGTTGCCGGTTACCATGAAGCAACCTCCGACTTTAAACAGCGGCTCAAACATGTCTTCTTCGGCACGGTTTGGTAATATTCTCGAATCGTGCACCATGTCCGAGTTTCACCTTGATTACCTGTCAAAAAAGAAAGAAAGAAAAAAAAAGAACATACAACATGAAAGTGACTCACTTTGACGTGTAACCTCCATCCACCGTGACGTTTCACGATGTCCGCATGTTTACCACGTGTGCTTCCTTTGTGTAGGAATGGGATCCATGCCAAACCTGTCAGTCGGTCTTTCATCCATGCCAACTATTTCCACCATGCCCGTTCTAACACCCATGCCAGCTAATCGTCCTGTAACCTCTGTGCAACCCCTGGTGCCAGTGCCAATGGCCCTGCCCTTGATCACCTCGTTCGGGAACTCTGGGCTCCCCAATGGCACTGTCAGCCTCCTCACCCCGCCGCTTGTTGCCAGCAACGCAGGTTGGTTCTACACCAGAACCATTCAGATCTTACTCTCGGACAAATCAAAGTTATGCTGATTGGTAGTGACTCAGATTTGACTCTAGGGTTGTACATCCAAAATATTGGGATGCGTCATCTTATTTGTGAACAGCTCTGGAGACGTGGGCCAGTTGCCAGTCGTAGGGCGTACTGCTGTTTTGAAATGTTACCTCTTTAAAAACGCTAAAACTGATGGCCCTCTCCTGCCTGTTGCTGCGCACTGCCAGTCCACTGATTGGAATAAGGCAATAACAATTTTTTTTTCCCTCGGTTACAAAATGACAATTTAGAACGAAAATTAAAGTCGTACGTTTTCCTTTTCAATACGTTGTGTTTTTACTTTGATCAAAGTGTCAAAATGAAAGTAACCTTGACATAATGAAATGTAACACAATTTCCGCAACAGTAGCAATAATTGTTACTTTTTTGTTCTTAGTCAAAACAATTAGACGGTGCAGTTTTTTGTTTTGTTTTGTTTTGTTTTGTTTTTTGTTTGTTTTTCAAGCAATGGCTTATGGTAGATACCATAGCGAGGGCTAAAGCTAGCTGAACAGTAGCCTTAAATGTACAAACAAGTACAGAAAACAATGTTAGCAACGAGGCTAACACCAGTGTTGTTGAGGGTTTAAGATTAATCTCCACTTTTTCTTTTTTTTTTATTCTTGTACAACATAGCTTTAGCAGCCTAGCACAGATTTCTGCTACATGACTTTACACAAGCTGCAGTTTAAGTCTACCATGAACCTCTGCTTCACACGTCTTGGAAATCACACTAGTCCGGTGGCTGATGCTATGTAAGGCTAAAGCAAGGTCACATCTGAACTGTATTGGAAGTATGATTACATAAAATTGATTCCCGCTCATCATTCGGGGATGTTTCCTTTTAACACAACATAAAACAGTTTGCGGGTAACAAGTTGGTAACTTGGTAAAGTCCTTTAGAAACTACGTGTTTCGTAATATGTTTGCAATAAACCTAAAACAGAAAAGTACAAACGCAGTTAGATATTTGACTATATACTTTAAGCGATTTAGTTTTTATTGCGATAATTTGCAATGAATAAATGATGCACCAACAGTGTTGCACTTGTTCGGATCATGCTGCCCTACATAACACAGTTTGCTACTTGGTCTAAGAACAAGCCCTTCCTAAAAACAGTTTAGAGAAAGCTGTGTTTATTTCTTTTTTTTTTTTTTTACATCTTATGTGTCTCCTTTTGTTATTCTCTCATATTTTTTTTTTGTTTACAATTTTCCCAATTATATAACCAGACTGACTGGGAATTCACTACATTAGATAATTTAGGCCACTGTCTCTTTAAAGTTGGTGCTGAAATCAGTCGAGAAAATGTATTTATTTTGAGCTACAATCACCTTTCTGTTCGAGCTCAGTGTACTCATCAGTCTATAAAATACAAAAAGATAAGATTAGATGTGCTCAAACGTCGAGGACAGCTGTAATTAAGAAAGCTTCCAGGCTATTTTATGCTACTTTATGGAACTTGCATTCTCTCTATCTGACCTTAAATGTCATTATTGAAACACTTATCTTGATATTTGGTTTCTTTTTTCCAAATTAAAAATGCACTGCCCGATATACAGGTACTCCGATGTCGGGCTTTTCGTCCCCCATGGCTTTTTCCCCATCTCCGGGTGTGTCAAAAGCCAACTCTCTTCTGGACCTTGGATCCAGCAGGTACGCCTATTTTATTTTATTTTATTTTATTTTTATTTTTACAGTATCATTAATCTCTATGACTGTGTGCAGTGGTCAAACTTAAACATAAATATAGAATCAAACATACCATATCTATGAAAGATTTTGTAGTCCCACCTATGCGCCAAATTTACATTTTCTCATCATGGGCATTAATTTCAGGCATTCAGAGATAAATTGGAACCATTCCAGATGGGTTGATTATAGAAAACTTTAGTGAATTTCAAAATGATCTGGGTGTGCACATTCAAATAACAAGAAATAAACGTTTGAAATTTATCACCCTATGCGTAATAAGCCTATGTAAAGTATGAGTATGAGATTTTCAACAAAACCTTTGAGACATTCTTGTATTTACTGCTTATTATTTTAATCTCAAATTATTATCCCAACAATGTTTCCGCTGCAGAATGTCTGACTTCGACTTTACATGTTTGAGGCGACTTAAAATACAGCAACAGCTACTTGTCAACTTCTGGCCTTTTTGTGAAACATCTAATATCTCCCTGGAACGGGTGTAGTGAGAAGAAAAGAAAGACGACGCTAGGCTGGATAAAGGTTTTGTGCTAACCCAGATTCTTCGTGGCTATCTTGTAACCAAGCGACTCCTCCCAGCATTTTTGCGTGGGTTTGAAGAAAGGATAGAAATGGGATCTTCACTAATTTCACAGCTTCGAATAACATGATGTCTCTATAACCTCAGGTGTAGGCGGCAGCCTGTACGTCAGGTGCAAGGGGGAAAAAATACAAGCTAATTCATGTTTACCTCTTTCTGTATTACAAATCAAGTTTTCATAACACTGTATGACATGAAACGCATTTGTGGATTTCCTGGATCTACTTTTTACTGTTTTCTCAAAGGATGCATAGGTTACCAAAGACATTTTAGACTCAGTGATTTTCTCTGTTCCCCTCCCTGATTTGACCAGGGACCAGTATGTCACTGCTGAAGGTTTTTTTTTTTTTTTTTAAGTGAAGTCAGACATTTGTTGGGAATTTGCTCTATATCAGTAAGCTGAATTTAATTCAGTTTGTGCTTTACCTTACTAATGTTTTAAACCATCATTCTTGTAAAATTCCCTTCTAGTTTAGTAAGAGCAAAATAAAAAGCAACAGGGAGCCTGTCGTTTAAAAGCTAGGGTTCGGATTGGAGCAGAAAACCGCTGAATTTCAATTTGTTTTGCCTTCACTTAACAACTTGCAACATTATAAAATCCTCCTCTTTTCTTTCTCCACAGTTCAAACTCTTCCTCCACCACGTCACTGGCCAGCAGCTCTCCAAAAATGGGTTCAGGCGACTGGGCCGTTCCACAGGCGTCGAGACTCAAGTACCGTCAGCAGTTCAACACACTCGACAAACTCATGAGCGGCTACCTGTCAGGTCGGTCCAACTAAAGAAACTCAAAGGTCTTGGTGTCACTTGGCTGCTCATAAGTGGCCAAGTTACACAGATACATATTTTATCCAAGCTCACATTTTATGTATTTAGTGTGTTTTCTTTTTCTTTTTTTACTTTGCAGGACCTCAGGTTAGAAATGCGCTGATGGCATCAAACTTGACCCAAACTCAACTGGCTACCATTTGGTACGTGTGATGTGTGTTGGCATCGTTTCATCTTTAAAGTTCAGTTTCTATTTTCTGGCATCACTATTTTCACTATTTGGTCAAATTTATTTCTCTGTGTTTTAAAACAAACAAGCTGGTTAAAGCAGCATGAAAGAAATTGTCTTAAGTTTCCTTCCTTCCTTCAGAGGTTGGGTTGGACGATTTGGATCAGATTTTTCTGCAAAACCATCGTATCTCAAACATAAACTTGTAAAGTTCGCTGACTTCTGGTTGGATTTATAACTTTGTGCTCTGCTCAGATTTGACTGCATTTGAGATTTTTGGCAGCAAACACTACGGGCGTTTAAAAAAAAGCCTTTAGAGAACGTTTGCCTTCTGTTAATTGCAGTGGGGGGGTCTATGATGCTGCGGGACCGTCTCTCTTTCAAATTATTGATTATATGTTACATACGTAAGTTAAGGAAATGCTTTACAATTATGTGTGCACAGGAGCCTGGCAGATGTTGATAAGGACGGTCAGCTGCGGGCTGAGGAGTTCATACTGGCTATGCACCTGGTGGACATGGCGAAGACTGGACATCCACTTCCCCTCACTCTGCCTCAGGACCTGATACCCCCCTCCCTCAGGTTAGCACAGAGGGTTTGGTTTGAATATGCACAAACAAGCAGCTTAATGCAGCAAACAAGGCTCGTCTTTTCATTTCAGAGGAGGAATTAAGTCCAGCGAGCTTCTCAATGGCACAGGACCCTACATAAGTCCAAGTTTAATGGACACAACAGAGATCGAACCTCCTCAGAAGAACAAGAGCAGTGGTGCGGCACTCTTCACGGTTTATGGGTTTTTTTTTTTTTGGTTTTTTTTATTATTATTTTGTCTTCTCTGGTTCTCATCCCCCTCAGTGTCCTACGAGGACAAGCTCAAGGAGAACTTTGCGCGCGGCAGTGCCGAGCTGGAGAAAAGGCGGCTGGCTCTGGAGGAGGAGCAGAGGAAGGAGAGGGAGCGCCGGGAGCGGGAGGAGCGGGAGGCCCAAGAGCGGCGGGAGAGGGAGGCCAGGGAGCTGGAGAACAGGAGGAGGTTGGAGGAGGAGAGTCGGATGGAGCGGCAGAGAGAGATGGAAAGG